AAAATGTACGATGCACATAATTTTATTGTTTTTTACTGCAGCGTACCACCTACCATAAACAATTTATTTCACCATAAAAACCATATTTTTAATAGCTTCTATCGACTTCAAAAATCCGTTTTGACGTAAATKCCCCGCATCTATCATCATCATTTTCTGTGATATGGTTGCCACGTTGGAAAATTAATTTTTCCTTACCTAAACGTAATTTACGTTTAATTTCTGAGCACGACACAGCGTGAGCATAATATAATTTAATTTTATAACAGGTTCGTCTGCCGTTGGAGCTGGTGGCAACGAACGTTTCCGGCTGACGCCAGTGGTCGCCGGTCTTTTGGCTATCACCATTGTGTCAGCCGTGGCTGCGGCTGCGGTGATGTGCGCACTCCGTGTGCGATCTCAACGACACCGGAACCAGCGCCGGCAGGACTTGTGCGGGGCCGGAACTGGTAGCGTTATGGGCGGAGGTATTGGTGGTGGGGCTGCCGTCATCGCCGTGTGCAAGCAAAAAGCTGATGACGACGATGGTGACTACGCGGCTGCGACATCAGACCCAGACAAAAATCCAGACCTGATCCCACCGACGAAAATCAAAAGTACGTTCAACAGCAGATTTTTATTTATTTTAATCACTACGATAGCCACGAACTTACTTATTCGTGCTAAAAACAGACAATCTTATACTTATAATATACCTATTAGGTTCCTATTGAGAATTTATTGACAAATTTACAAATGTAAAAGAAAATATACAGGGAATAGGTACTATTTAGAAAAAAATATTTGCAGAATCTTAGGAAAAAGTTATTGATATGGTGGAATCACAATATGGGATCTTAATAATTCTCTATGATATATTATTATACACTCAAATATGATATAATTTATATCTATTTTAAGCATTTTGTAATGTGATTAGATTGGTAACCTTTGTAAGCTTTTTATTGATAGTTTATATTCTATGATAATAGTTAATACTAAAGTCACTATTTTCATGGTTTTAGTTTCTCAGAAATTTTTTTAATTAAAATTATTTGCAACTATAAATCTTTTTTATTTTTTATTTTATAATCAAATTTTCATGTTTTATTACGCGATTTTAATTAATTTTTACAGGTTAAAATATTAGTAAAAAAGCTTAATATTTTTTTATGGGCCTTAAAGTTTAGAAACATATAAACTTATACATATGTAAATATATATATTTTTTTTTTTTTGATAAATAGAGTAATGCACTCGTTCTTGCATTTGTCTAGTGCATTATAAAGCGTCAAAAATATATTGTATTTTAATTGTAGTTATCAATTAGCTAGTAAATAAATCAATTCAATTATCAACCAATTTACTCCCGTTTATCAATCTACAATAATAAACACATTACTGACATAGTATAATTTTCATCGTTTTTGATTTATTCGGTAATGAGTAAACACATCTTAGTATAATTTTAAAAGTTTTAAAAATTATAATAATATCTTTAGATATCCCAACACGAACGATAAACCGATGCGCTGGTGAAATTCTAATTCATTCCAGCAATGGTTTTCTAGTTTTTTTAAATATATTTCACTTTAGGTATTTTGAGTGACCACTTTACTGATTAACAATGACGYCCACACGCTTGAACGACCCATCGGTCAGCGGGTCTAAGTCATAATACACGTACAAATTCAAAACTTAACAATAAAAAAAYAATGGTAGCTGTATATGAATATGAATACATTTATATTGTAACAATAAAAACAACCTACAGTTTTTTGTATTATATACACATAATAGACGTAACGCTATATAAGTGATCCATCCCGAAACGATTTGATTTTCCTACATACCGTGTATATAAAATTGAAGTTCCGGTTTTGCAGTATTCCAACAAACGGCATAATTCATGCCGTATCGGAAATACTATATTACTATATAAATATTGAATTATAATTGTAGTGAGCCTACCTAGATATTATGTTACGCTACATATGAACCGTGTGAAATTATATGTTTAAAAAAAAAAAACACTACTTTTGTTGATGATCATTATCGAAATAAATCACTATAGTATATATTATAAATCTAGGCGGAAGCAGGGGCAATATCGGATACCGTGTTGTCCAACAGTCGATGATGGGATTAAATGACGACGATGATGAAAACTTGGATGCTGCCGAATCATCAGACGATGAACGATCCGGTTACCCGATACTTCCGGTCGACGGTATAGGCTCTCGCCCATCTGTCAATTCACTCCGACACGTGAGTTTACTGCACATTTCATTTGAAAATACGTTCATAGTTTATTGTAGTTAAAAAATGATAACGATTTTCAAAAATCTAAATATGAGTTATGTAATATCCTGAGTAGTTGTTATTACAACGATATAGTAACAAATAAATGTACCTATGATTTATAGGTTATTTATTTCAGTAAAACGACAAGCTCTCCTTTTATTCTTGAAGTATAATATTAATAGAATTATTTGAAAACATATTAACAATGTTATTTTAAAATGATGTATGGTGCACTGACATACTGTCATTAAAATTTTTATGTAATTGACACTTAATGCATTTCGAGAGATGCAAACAATAATTTTAAAATTAATTTTATATTTTTTAATTCACTTTTATAAATTTTAAAGTTTTATATTTTGTAAGTCTTTAATATAATTAACTATGCGTATAAGCAATGTGCATAAATCAATAATAATCCAATTAAAATAAACTGTGGTTTTTTTAAATATAACCATAAAATATAATAGATTACTTTGAGGATAAATGTGAAAGTTAAATGTTAATACTATAGTTTATACTCATTGGAACAACTATTTTCAGGTAAACCACTATCCATTTAGTTAATCACAAATCTGTACAACCATTTATAATTGGTTGGTAAAACTTAAGTTAGATAAACATTTTGGGTAGCTACAATATAAGCTAAGAAGTTTGTGTAATATACATTACCTTAAATCCTGAAACACCCCTGAAGTGATTATAGCAAATCTATTATCACATCCTTTACCTATAGGTACATAAAACAGAAAATCAATTCTACTTGCCGTTCTTCAGTGTATTTAATTCTCGAGAAACAAAATCAAGTGATTTAGTTTGAGAAACTAAAACCCACACGCATTTTCTTTATTAAAAATACATTTTATTAGGCAAACAGCATTCGTAAATTAAAATATTGTGAGCCTAATAGGGCCTAATAGTAAAATGTTGAATTACAGTGTTTTATAATATTATACATTCCTTAGGTATATATTAACGAGAGAATTCAATAAAAATGTTGAATATTGAATAAAGATATTTTGAAATTATATTTAAAAAAAACATTATMAACATGACAATATAAGACATATACTTAAACGAATTTTTTATAAAGACATAAAGTATAATATTATATTACGATTACATAGTTTTATGTATTGAAATAAAAATTATCTAAAACAAAGTACATCGTTCAAATGTTTAACAGTTATTTATTTTTCATGTTCATATATTATTTTGTAAATCAATCACTTAATAATGTATATTGCTTTCATTAAAAAAAAAAAAATTACAACAATATAGTTATCTCTATATTACTATACAACTTAAAATATTTAAAAATGCTTTAATTATAGCACCTATCAACATTAAGATTAAACACAATTTAAAAATGTATTATTTAGATAAAAAATATTTTAGATTTATTTTTTTATTTCAATGATCAAATTCAAATTTAAAATTTTATATTGTTGATTACAGCCCGCTACATCAGCTGGCCCTGGCTATAGCAACAACGGCTACAGGCCTGAACAACATATGTCGACAACCATTGCGGTATCATCCCGATTACCACCTTACCATCATCGGGAAATCGTTACGGTTCGAACTCCATTGATGTCTAGCCAACAGGAAAGCTGCGTTTAAATATTATATTATTGAAAATATGTATTCAATATTCATATGATAATATTGTTTTATGTAATTTCTACATAAAATGCATAGTCCTATAGTGTTCTAATTATTATTACTAATATTACCCAATATTATTATTATTATTATGATAAATTATATTGTGAATGTATTTTGTTAATAACTTCCTAAATGTATATTATACAAAGATTTTTCTTCTGTTTATTTTTACCCTTTTCGTTTCTAATATTTTGTACTCACTTTGCATCTAAGTGTTTGTAATTTTGAACTATACTAAACTAATTTTTCGTATAATAATTGCATTTGAACAACTCCATAATGAAGTTTAGATTTTTTTTTTAGTTGGAATATCTTAATCATGTCATGCTTGTCAAGCATTGGTACTTAAAATTTGAAATAAAATTTTATTAATAAAATTATATGTTTAATTTAATACGAAAATAGTATCACATAAATATAATATGTGGTGCATTTTTTTAATACAAAATTGTTACATTTAGTGAAAAGCTGAAACATAACGTAATCAATCCATTAAATTCGTGTTAGTTTGGTTTCACTAAATCAAAAATATGTGTAATTCAACAATAAATTTCAAGTAAAATGGAATTTTTTTTTTTTTGATAGATTCCAATACCCACCTAAATTTTCACACAACATAATTTTTTCGTACAAACATCTTTGTTATAAACGTGGTTTTAATCTTGAAAACTTACTCCAAATACAATTCCGTGAAATAAACGTGGGATAGACTAGAATAATTACTGGCATCTTCATTTTAATATTTAATTATTTACWATTTAATCTAACCATGTCAAACTGTATAATAATAATATCTATATTTATAACAACCATAGTGAGTAATTTACCAAATTACCAATACTGCTGGTTCTTTGCAGAGGGAAATAGTTGATAAGTGTTATAATTTTTGTAAAAAATGACTTTCAAATTATATGTGTTTAAATTTATTATATTAATAGATAGGTTATAATATTGTTGTTGTTTGTATTTATAAAGTTGGAAAACCATTGTTGAAGTAAAATTGTCATAGATTTGCGCAACAGCGAAATCGTTAGTTTAATGAAAAGTAAGATTGAAATTTAAAAAAAAATGTATATACATTTTTATTATTATTGATATAAATAAATAAATAATATTATATTTAATGTAAATATTTAATAATAAATATCGGTATCAATAAAGATAACGAGTTACCCGTAGCGTTTATTTATTCATAAATTAAAGGTATAATAGTTTAATTATATACCTAAACAAATTATTAATAATGATTCATTATAATACATTTATATACTAAAAACACACACGACATTTTTAATTTTTAATTTTATATTTTGTGTAACTAGATCTGTAAAATATATTTTATTTTATCAATTTATTGTTATATATTATTATTATTTATTAGCTACCTAAGAAGTGTTAATTTATTTTTTAAGACACTAGAAATTATTACTGCTATTTTATACAATAAACATTTTTATTTGTGACTTTTTCATGTAAATTACAATTTGTAGCTATATTAGGTAATGTTTAATGAAAATAATTTCATTCAATTATAATTAACTATCGATTAAAAATGTTTCATATTAGAGTTAAGTTTTTAAATTCAGTTTATAATAATTACTACTACAGATTTTTGTTTAAAATTCATATCAAAACTTTATTATAATATATTATTATTGTTTACTAGTTTATTTCTTTTCTCACTCTCGGTTTATATGTTCTATATTTTACTACATTATTATAGTGTTATTGTTATGTTAGAGTTGATAATCTTTGTACTATCAAGTATCAATGCATAAATCATATAATTAATATTTAAATTGTAATATTACATAGTATTTTTTTTTTTAGTTTTTAATAGCTCCATGTTCATTAATTTAAAAATATATATTTACATACCTAATTAGAAAAAAGTTGTTGTATTCACGTTATCGCTACTTATATATTATAATTAAATATAAATCAATAAGTGTAATCGTATTCGCACAGATAAGATGCCAACTCTGTTTAGAAGTTAATRCTGTTTTTCTTTCGATTATAATTAATGTGTATTCGAAGTTTAATTTACAAGTATTATCCGTGTGTGTTTATATACAATTTAATGTATAATATACAATTAATATTAATATATACTTCTATCATATCTATTTAGAATTATGCATAATATATTAAATGCATATATATCGATCAAAATTTGTTCGTTTTGTCTTAAGGACGGTTATTAATATTATTAAAACTATTATAACTACTATAATTAATTTATTATTATTACTGAGTAAGTGTGTAAATTATGTCTGATTATTATTCAATCGTTACAAATTGTTTTAAGAAAATATACATGTGACGATTTTTTCTTCATATCTTGTTTTTGTTTTTTATTTTAATTTTTACAATATTCATGAGTTTTGTATATGAGTGTAAGGTGTAAGTATATCGATCATTAACTTTGGATGAAGCATAGTGAAGTAATACGTTTAATAAAAAACTAGAAAATTATAGATACTATTGAAAATACAAACACACATAATATATATTATTATAATTAGAGATATCATGAAAATATTGACTATTAGATACAACTTAACATCTTAAACATCTAAAAATATAATTTATTATCAATATGTTTTAAAACCATAATAATCATCCTCCCAATCCATATTTTCTTAATCCAAATCAAGTAAGAATAATGTAACTTTACAATGGCTATTTCAAATACATATTTATTAATTTCTACCTATTGAAGATTGTGCGATCATTTTTACTATAAACCATAGTATTATAGAATTATAGAATTATTATTTTACTAAAATGTACAATATTTATTATTTTTTCAAGCATCTAATATTGAAAAATAAATATTTATTTGATCACTATTTTAATCCATTTATTATTTTCTTAGATAATTTTAGGTTAGTAAAATAAATAAATTATCCTTCTTATCATCACAAAAAAATTGATATTTAGTTTTACATAGATTGTATTATTGTTTATTATCAATTAATAATGAAATATGAACATTTTTATAATTTTTGTTATAATTATTAGAAATTAGTAAAATCATTTTTAAATTAATCCACTATTTAAATTTTAAATTTGACTAAGTTATCAAACGAAATGTAAAGAAAAAAAAAATAACACAAAAATAAACTTATCAAATGATATTTAGTCCGGATATTTCAAACCGTTGATAGGTATGAGTTTTTTCTTTAACATATTCAGTAATACAAAATAATTCCATATTGTAGATTTAATAGCTTGCACAAATTGGAAAAGAAATTTAGGTAGAATAAAGCTTATATATCATTAGGTATTATTGAATCTATTATTTTCAGCAGCAGGTATTTCCATTTTATTTCAGTTTTTTTTTTGTTCACTTTAATTTCAAAATATCTTAAGATTTTTTCATCTGATTGAAATTTAAAAATTCACTATTTAATATGTGTTTTTTCTCCTTATGATAGATAAACAAAACGAAAACTATACTAAACACATTAATTAAGTAATTCATTTTATAATGATGCATATTTAAGGATGAGTAGCCAAATATTTTCCTAATTAGACTTGAGAGTTAACCTTCATTGAAAGTTGCTTGGGACTATTTTACAAAGGAGCAATTCATAATGGCTTTATACAGTAGGTAATTACTCAGTACCGTATCCATCGTATTGCAATAAAAAGTATTATATAGTAGGTATTGAGTTTTTCTAGTTGTATGAAACAAAATTAAAAGCACAAAACTACAAAATATATACATTTGACATATTACATTGGTCTATTAAACATAAAAATAAAATCACACGTTTTGGATTGTTTTTCAAAGATATTAAAGAAACATGACGTGTTAACTCATACTGAATAATCATGTAACAAATTAAACATATATTATTTCATTGTTAACCAACTTTTTACATCAATGAAATGCATTTGAAATATAACAAATCATCACCGACCTTTGCATGAAGTCCCCTTGTACGCATTCGCCCACTACCAAGGCTGAGGACAATATTAAAAAAACAACATGATTTGACAACTCGGTTCGTAATTTTCAATGGGATTATCATGGCTAATGACGATTTTCCGTGGTCATGGTTATGTTCATGAATTTCCGGTGAGTTTTGATCATTAGTATTTAAATAACCCCTCAGTCCGAAAATAAAACAGTTATTGTAATAATATGCAACAGATTGATCGATTACTCATTCTCGTATATTTGAAGTGATATTTTCTCCACGAAAACTGTTTTGTTTTTTTATAACAAGAAAATAAATTAAAATAAATATAAAAATAAATTAGAAAAATTTTCTATAAATAATTATTTTTATTCAAATCTAAATAAAAATAATGTTCACAAATCTTTCATTCAAAGAGCGACAGAATATATYAAAAGAATTTCCAGAATTATCGCCTAATTTAATAAAGCGATACGAAAAGACGTTTACTAGGTATAACGTTTACTTTGAAAATATTTTATATTATGGTGTTTGTAATTAGTACTAACTTATAATACTGTACCGGGTGATTCTTTTATCATTGAACACTCATTATTTCAAAAATTATTAATGTTTTTATTAAAAATATTTTTTTACATAGCTTCAAGTTGTTCAAAAACCAACGTTTTTATTACAAATTTTTAATTTAAAATATTTTTTATCCTTATCATTTTTTAAGTTTTTTACTTTTTTGAATGACAACATAGTTTTAATTTCATATTCCATAGCAGAATATTTTTCTACGTATTTTGATTCATAAAAATCGAATTTAGGACGAATAGTTTATGAGTTATAAGTATTTAAAGTTTAGATTGGCAGAGTGGTGTGGTACGGGATTCCCCGCAATATGTTTGTCCGTTACTCCGCTTGTCTAAACTTTAAATACTTATAGCTCATAAACTACTCGTCTTAAATTCGATTTTTATGAATCACAATACTTAGAAAAATATTCTGTTTTGGAAAATGAAATTAAAACTCTATGTTGTCATTCAATTACGTAAAAAACTTATAAAATTATAAGGATAAAAAATATTTAAAAAATATTTTTTTTAAATAAAAACGTTGGTTTTTTGACAACTTGAAGCTATGTAAAATAATATTTTCAAAAACATTAATAATTTTTGAAACGATGAGGGTTCAATGATAAAATAATTACCCGGTATAGTATTATTGCATGTTGGAATTCTATTATAGGTATTATTATAGTGACAATTATATTCTTTATAGTATTTGCACTACTCTTTTCTGTTATAATTAACACAATGCATGTTTACATATTTTACTTGTAATATTCGTTTTAACTACCATGTACATAACTCATTATTTATTATTCAACTAAAGTTCATATTTTTATAGTTGAATATATATTTTAATTGCAATTTTGTTATTGTTTTTTTTTTTTTTTTACATAATTTAAACTATTGTTATGGTCTCACCGGGTTGATCCATTGACACCAGGTATCATTGAGTTCGTCAATTCGGAAGTCTCTCGAAAAGGAAGATGAGATKTGATTATAAACTGATAGGTTTAATTATATAAAAAAAAATATTTATTGAAGACAAAATTTTCTACACACTATCTTTAACGGACGCAGACATACATCGACTGACTCGCCTGTACGGGACAGTCTTACATTGTACCTACTCACGTTGAATGTCGAGTCAGCGTTCGTTCCCCACATTACAAATAATTGTTCATATAGTAATAATATTATAATGCTAAATTATAAACTAATAATTATTAATAATAATAATAATCAGGGTTCATAACACTATCATTATAGTTTAGCTCTTAAATAAAATAGAAAACAGTGCATTAGAAAAATATAAACATGCACAATGGTAATAGCTAATAATAATTATTACTAAAACCTGTTCGTTATAATACGGATCGTGAACAAAACTTAAATATTTTTAAGTTTAAAATGTTTATTTCATGTCGATTAATAATAAAAATTAATAATTCATAACAGCCGGTTTAAGTATTGCGTAAACTATTTACAATGTATCATAAATTGTACCTATCTATTTTATAACCAATTTAATTTATTTTAGTTAATATGATTATAATACAAGACATTTAAGTATGCTTAAAAGTTATATAATTTTATGAAAATAATAAATTAGATATGACACGGACAACGATGGATATTTGGACGTTGAAGACCTCAAAGGAATGATGATGGTGCGTGGTGTTCCGTGGACTCATTCAGCGATTGTACGGCTTATCAGAGACGCGGATGAAGATGGTGATGGAAAACTCAGTTTTCGTGAGGTCAGTATGATTGTATTTATTTAATTTTTTCTTTTTTTTTTTTTTTTTTACTGTGTGTTATTTAATCTTAATTTCCTCCACAATAAACTTGTTAGTTATGAATCATTTATGTATTAAAAAAATTAAAGTAAAAATAGTTCAAATCAAACTTAAATTATTAAACAATTATTTTAAAAATAACCTTCCACGTAGGTATACCTAATTTTAGATTTTGAAAAATCTATGTTGGTTTTAGTTTTAGTTAAATAATTAAAAACTCTAAATTCCTACTTAAATATATGAATACTTTTTTCCTATTTTAAATAAGGATGATGATCAAAAAAAAAATCAATACTTAAATAATTTATTTGGTAATTAAATGTTAATAAGAGTGGGTACCTATATAACAATACATCTTCATTTACTGATATACACAACTGCAACTTATGTTTTTCAAAAACTACAGCTACTGAAATTCAGGATAATGCTGTCTACTCTAGTAAAAAATTATTTATTTTCAACAATAATAATATTATCTTGTTCTGAAATTATTGTTTYATTGTTCTCTATACAATGTGAATAATGTAGACCACGTTTTGCGAAACCACCACGATTTTTTCTAATTATGTTATTCATTGTCTTTTTAGTCTCAACAATGTTTACAATTATAGTCTAATGCTACATAATTTTTTCTAGAGCAACAAATTTTGCTTCTATTTATTTTTTTACAACGTTTTACTTATATGGATTATTATTATGTACTTACTATTTAGAATTTCTTACGACAATTACATCCTATTTTTTTGTATTATAATATGAAAACTGACGTTCAGTTGAAAACCATTTCATACAATGTATAGAGAAAGGCATACTGTTGTTTGATACAACGAACAATATGTTACAATACACAGCTAAAGAAAAAATTCTAAAACGCTTTTTCCGACTAAGTTTGGGTGGCATGTCTTATACTTATGCAATATATTATCATGTTGACACAGAAAATCGGAAAAGATGCGGACAATATGAAACTGTTTTAAACTCTTAGGATTCTCGGAATTCCGTATGGGGTATGCAAGAAAATTGTTTGTTGGTTAATGCGTTAAATTAAATGTTATAATTAAATATTTTAATCACTTTGTGTAAACGGATGAGTGCGTGACCAGAGCTAGGTGAGATGTCCTATAGAGTTTCGAAATACTTCGTATGCGAAGTGATTATATTTTAAATAGTTTCATCAGCCGGAAATTATTATCACACTACCCGATGCCAAAATTGGAAAAACTATTAACAGTCTCATTGAAAAACACCATCCTCAAAGTTGGCCAACAATTTTAAGTGTCATAAACAAATCACTCGTTAAGTACCTAAATGTTTCTTATAAATGTAATATTGTACAAACGTGTGAAATTATTGAACACTTTGACTTTGTTTCTATGGTTTGGTTTGCATACGATCTGAAAACGTGATTGGTTATCAACCAAGTGATATATGAAACACTTGCGGCTGAGAGGATTATCTGTACCATAATATGTATGTTTTATTATTCAATCTAAACTACTTGTCCCCATAATAACTAATCGATAATATTTAAATTTACAGCGAGTATGAATAAAACGGATATAATTTGATCTAAAAACAATAACTTAAAACGTTTTTCCTGTTAATAGAATAAAAATTATCTAAATGTATATGCAGGCATGTAATTTATAGGGAAGGGGTTAAGAGAAACTACACAACTCTCCTATAACTAATATAGGTAATTAATAAAAATAATAAAAACAGAATTATAATTAATCACCATTCGAAAAAAAGTAAGTAAATATGCATTTATTTTCGTATTGTTTGTTTGTTGTTATTACAATAATTATAATAATTATTGTTAAACTTTTGCAGTTTCTGATAACTCAACGCAAAAATGTGGAATGGGCCCGCCGAGTGTTATGTGCCCTGCCTGAGATTGACGTTGGACGTGTTGGCGTCAAAGGGGCCAAAAAATACTTTGAAGCCAAACAGCTGTTACCTCCAAAAACAAATCACAAGAATAACATGTCATATTAAAAGAAAAAAATTACTATTGCACAACATATCTGCTTCGTAAATACATAGTAACTCGAGGTGATTGTCTCCCTTCTTACTCATAAACTTTTTTTTGATAACCTGTATATTTTAAAACAATATCATCTTGTATAAATGTTAGGGTTCAAAATTAATACGATAAACTCTCAAACATAACACACGTGGCCAGTATAACAGCATCGTTGTACCTATTTATAGGTATTGATTAGGTATGGTGATGTTGGAAATTGGGTGACAAACACCACGAAATACACTCAATTTTTGTCAAAAATTTGTGTAACATATTTTATAACTCGTTTTAAATGAGATTTAAAAAATTAAATGCCTCTTTCTATGATTATTTAATAGCACACGATTAACGCACTTGTATTAATAAATAATTTTTATTTGTAAATTATAGTCTATAATTTTAAAAACATGAAACAATTATGTTTATAAGGTTAATTTATATGAAATAGTAATAACAATTTATAGTATTTTGACAACAATCCATATTTTATTTCATTGTCCACAACAATCCTGACCAAAACATATTAATATGCAATATAATATATTTTATTATATACTATGTATATTTTATGAGTAAAAAAAAATGTATAAATCTCGTAAAAGTCTATACAATACAATAATACTGAAGTAATATAATGTTTTATGACGTTAAGAGTTCATTCATTTCTTGTAAATGTTTAAATTTGTATAGATTAATGTTAATATACTAATTCGGCATTCATGAACACTGTAAATATATTATTTCATGTGTGAATACGACGAAACTTATTCTTGTTCTTAATAGTTGATTGCATAATACCTTTGCACCGTAATATTTTTATCGCCAAAATCGATATTTCAATGACATATTTTTCAAAAACAAACGAGTAATGAGTATAATGCAATAATATATACAAGTGTAATTATTATCATCATATCTACACAAAGTCACAAAATATGAGATAATTTATCACCTATGAATATTATACTGTTAATTGTAACTTATAAGTAGTCAGTACTAAATAATCCCATTATATACATCATACAATATKCAMTATATATTTTATAATATATTTACACATGTAGCCACGTAGGTACGCTGACGAAGGAAAACATAAAACAATAAAATAAAATAATATATTGCCTGTATGTTATATTGCTGTTAGGTACGCTCTGTAATTTCAATTCAATTAAACATAAAAGATCTGAAAGCTTTTTTTTATAAAGTTGACTCATTTTTATTAAATCCAAATTTATGTTATATCATAAAAAGTTTTTAAAAAAAATCATTAGTTAAACGAATTGATAGAAACCAGAACAAGAAATTTATTTACAGTACCCAAATTCGATTATTCAAATAAATTTTATGGAGATTAAACATTTTTGAAATTAAAACAATCATTTATTAATAATAATAATAATATTTATCGGCCAAAAGAAAAAATACAATTTGATTTMATATTTGAATGAAATATTTATTATTCTTATTAAATTATGTTATACGGGATCAATATGTGTCGTCATCACTGTGAAAATTACGATGTATTGTTAACCATTTTTAGTTAAATTTTACAAAACTACATAATATCTCCATCTAATATTGGAAAACAATATGTGTCAGTCACACTAACTATGCGTTTACATTTAGGGTCACTTAATAGGGTTTACGCAAAGGTGAGTTTTATTACAATCAGTAGAGTATGCGATCCGGCAATCAAACGCGTACATTTCAAGCTGGTATTAATAATATGAGCCTAATGTGATTTAAATATATATATCACCTACTGGATACCTTCATAATCTCACGAGCTCGTATGCACTTACTGATAATCTCTTATAATCTGGTTTACACATCTCAATTAGTTGAATTTATTTACCTACTAAACTATTCGATCGTGAAAGCCCGGAATCTATACAGGCTGGTAACACGAAATGCACCTTTAAGAGTGATTCCCCGTAAGAAGATTACACACACTAAGTATTGTCAATATTATTTAGTAATCAAAACACAACCTAATTGTTAAATAATTAAACTGTCGCGTTTCCAACATAATATAGGGAATGCGCATCATAATATATGTTTGGTATTTAAATAATTTACAAYAGAAACAAAACGCAAAGATTTTAACAAAAATAGTATATTATTATTAAATGTTAAGAAAAAATGAAGAAAAGAAACGGATATGACGTGTTAGAAAAAAACAATCAAAGTACACGTGAAGAATATTATTTTAGATAATTTCAAACTATAAAATTATTTTTTGACAAACAATAAATTCTATGCTTGTTTTTCTGTTCGGCTATTTGTATTAATTTATTATTGTTTTCTTTTCTTTTTTTTATGAGTCATCACTACATGGGAGCTAAACTGTTTTCATTTGTCTTAACCCGCATTAAGCATAAYTTATTTWTTTTTTAAATAATAGCATATACAAATTAAGTAAGCTCTCATAAAATCGAAGTCCATTTTTTTTCAACATGCGCTGTTGTGTGAAGTGAACAACGAGCATCATGAAAGCTGGCAATAATGCACATTGATAGATAGTATGGAGGTAGTAGAGACGTGAACCACTTTATCACCCCCACCAAAATTTAAATACATACAAGGTGTATTTTATTCAGTTTTCCAGTGGTCTTCGCGGAACAACCTATGTCCACTGTACTAGACGTCGGGGTTAAGTAGATGCTCTTCTCAGACCAGCCTAAGCTAGACTTTCTAAAATTACCGTACTGAAATCCCTTCTCATGAGTCGACCTAAGCCCTCCGCTCTTGAAGCTCATGCTAGACTTAGTCTCCAGTATCATCTGCTGTCTGGCGAACACTTGCTTCGATTTTCTTGAAGTCAGGATATCCTCCATCATTTTTTAGAAGATCCTTCAAGTCTCTCCTGTTTCTACGAATCATTTCTCTAGATGGTCAACAGGAAGATCTTTGAACCATTTTTGGCCTTGGAGGGCGACCTAGCCGTTCCCGAAGCTCTGTCCTGGTTCTGGCAACGAAAGAGCCATATTTAAATCACAGAGGAAGTGCATTCCTGTAGCCCATCAGTGCTTGGATCATGAATTAGATCAAATGAACCCTTGATATCGTTATATTCTTCCATCTAACTGTGTTTATAATGAGATGGTGCATCCAAGCAGCCTTGGAGTAACTGATCTATCTCATGTGTCAATCGCTAGTTGTGGTTATCCCCTTTTCGTTCTAGATTATGACCTTGATGAGAGGGGTTAGGTTAGGTGTACATTAAATAATGATAATATACAATGTATCCTTAGCTTAGAATTGATTTTTATTTATCTATAATAAACACACACATTACAACGAGGAATTTCAATTTCTCAATGGATAAGAACTTCCAGGTACACTCTAAACTGATTATACGAGTGCAATAGAAGTGATTTAATTTTTTTTTCTTAGTCTTGATTTTCATACATCATAAATAATATGAATTAGAAATATAACACCCAAACTTCGCAATTATGTCATAACTATATGGTTATATTAAACCTGAAGTATAATAAATAAAAATATAATTTTAAATTTTTTAAATAATATCATAAGGAAACTGAAAACTATTGCATTCAAAATAATTTTAAAGGTCAATAATGATCGGTTATTTATTTAATTTTGTTAATCATTTAATAGGTATCCAATACGCGCATTTTATAAAAAAAAAAATAACTACCTACCACATATTCATACATATTCATAACGTTATAAATGTTCAATTTTTTTTTTCAATCGTTTTTTGATTTGGCGTTTCAACATTTATTTCCAAATGGAATTTGTTGGAATTGTGTGCCTATAAAATGTTTGAAAAAAGGTGTGGAATTTAAAAAAATAATAAATAACTTAAACCCTTATTTTTATTTTTTTATTTAAAATTTATTTTTATATAAAATGACGATTCTCGGATACTGGTGATACCTAGGTACCTACTATAAAAGCGCAAAATAGTTACTAACAATACTTTGGTGTGATGTCAGAATCGTGACAAGGACACATGTAAAGTACTGCATATTATTAATTATGACACGTCAATTGAACAAATGGTGTTTGCCATACATCGTGATTGTTCATTAATACAGTGTATTATTATGTGTACCTTAGTATTTTACATGTGTTTGGTGATATTATGACAAGTCAAATGACAATAGCAAACCAATATTTATTGTCACCGAGTGCGTAATAGCTAAACTTACTATTAGTTTAAACCCATTTTCTTCAGTGACAGTTTGTACTTTTTCGTTACCAAAGTCTTAAAATACAAATAAAATCACAAACTCAGATGCATTATCCTGTTGGTTATAATCGATCTCTAATGGTCATAATGTTGATGGTGTATATCATACGAGTATGTATTATATGTATCTAAAATAATCATTATATTTGAAGCTTTAGATATATACATTATACTGACATAGGTATAATCAATATACTAATGGATTAATGTTCTTATTTATTTAAATTGTATTTATAACTTTATGATATTTGAAAATGTATGGATAAATTAAAATTAAATTTCTTACCGATGCTATTATACCTACTATAAATTATTAAATTTTAAAATATCCCTCAAATTTTAATCTTAAAAATTAATTGTATAGTATTTAATACACATCAAATGTTATGGTTATAATTTATTATTCCGTACTTTTTAACATTCAAATTTATTTTAGTTTCAGTTTCAGCAAACATTAGGTAATTTTCTAAAAACACTATTGACATATAATCATGTACATAAATTTAAAYACRGTATGTTATATATAAGTTATATAGCGATTATAATACATTAATATACTAGTAATCTGTATGTATCATTTCATAACTTACCACATAAAGTTATATAGGTATACCTACATTTTAATTTGAATAAAAACGATATGATTTGAAAGTTGTCTTATATTTAAATTTCAATTGAACATATTTTAAAATCATTGAAGTATTCCCAGCATTAAATGATAATTCCTTGGCTTAAAATATATCAATACCTACATTTGTAATATTTAATTATTATTTCCGTTTATTTCTTTGCCCTCATCAAAATTAATTAGTTCTAATCATCTTTAAATTTCAATTCACATGTCTAATACATTTAAACAATATTCAGTTACATACTAATATTTCATTATTACCTATCAATCTTTTATTATTGTTTAAATCCAATTAACAATTTTAAATACCACAAAATTTAACAAAATATATTTTATGTGGTGATATGGATAATGAAACTATATATTTTGATAATTACATTATTTTTGGAAAAATTAATTTGATTCTGCTTAGTTATAATTTTCTATTAYCTTATCAATAGAAAATTAGTAATCGAACAATGTTATTCATTTTACAAATATGTATACAATTTAATAAAAAATGTACTGTAAAACATCATAAGTTGTGTAAAAATGAATTTAAAATAAAATCCCGTAAGAGTCATTGATGGGTGGCTTCTCACATCTCGTGTTTCATATATATTATATATATATATATATGTTTATGTTAGTTCTCATCTTTTTTTAGATGTATTAATGTATAATATATATTATATATATATTATATATATATATGTAATTTCACATGTACTCATTGTGTCTCTTATGTACAGATTGTATATTTCAAATAAGCAAAAATAAATAAAAACTAGAATTCTATGTACCTACTATTAATATATTTTTTGAATTTGAAATAATCATTTTCGTTATATCTTACGTGTTTAAAAAAAAAATTACTTMTTTAACTTGATTGGTTTGTAAATAATAATGTTTTATATAAACTTCAGCCAGCGGTTAATTTTATGAACTATAAACTCATAATATTATATTGTATACCTTTATAAAAAAAAATTAAAACCCAGCGCCTATAACTAGGTACCATGTTTAATAATAATATAAAAAAGATAATAATATAGTCGTTTCAGTCCACTATATTCATATTAAAAAAAAATGTTTTTATATTTTTCCATTTTCTGTTTTTATTGAGGACATCTTGCACAAATACTACGAAACAAATTGTCGTTTACAATTTAAATAGTATACTGTTAGTTACAAAATTAGAGTGAATTTACCTATTATACAATTTAAATACAATATTATTATCTAGATACCTTTAATTCATATTATTATTTTTGAGTCATGATCATTTTAAAATATCTAATTTGGGGCCCTWAATATACCCACACCACCATTAATTGTATAAATCTAATTGTTAATTGTCTAATCCCTTTGTATTATTATTATTATTTTTATTATTCAAATTGTGAGTCTGTCAACCRTTCTCATGATGTTTTGTACAACAATATTATCTTACCTAAATCAAAGGAGCAACACTGTAATTTGTATCAAGTACGATTCTATTAAGTACATTGTACATAATATATTATTATAATAACTATACAATATAACAGGACATTCATGTACATTTTGTTCGAACTATTAGTACTATACCTATTATAAATAATAACATTACTATATTGTCGAATTTGTTAAAACTGTATTTYCTATAGCACTCTATCCGTGGCTGTTAACAATGAAACATTATTGTTGTCACCACTAGATAGAGTTTGAGTTCATGTTTTGTGTTTTTCATTTCCTAATTGTATTATTTTGATATACAATTCTGTTATTCGGTATATAGTAAATTTTATAAATGTATTTAAAAGATTTAACATTAAATAGGTGAGAAATAGGTTTACAAATATTTTTATAAATATAACCGTGGGGAACCTAATATATTGACGTCCTCTTTGTTTTATTGTGCTTATAATACAACTTTTGATTTATATATTTATATACTTTTCGATTAGATTGATACGTACATCAGTTCACTTGATACAATTTCTAAATTATTTATATRTTATATTACTATCCTAACTAACAAACTGAAAATGGTGGTTGTGGGCTAGACATGGGAGGAAGGCAACCCTTTATTTTGATTTTCCATCCCACTTATTTTATCCGAAACAAAAGCATAAATCCTTAAAAGTTATACCTATATATTGCTTTAGGTTTGTCAAAAMAATCAAATATTATAAATTATAAAAGACGCAGTAATATAACCGTGTACCTCCATGGTTTTTAATTTTGTTGAAAACATAAAAAAAAAACTGTTTAAGTTCTGGAAATTT